CTCTCTCTCTCTCTCTCTGCAAATACTCTTGAAGTTCCATTGGGTCACACACAAAAATAATCACCCCCGATCTAACAATGTTGTTTCTTTCCCCCTACTCCATATCATTTGTTCCTTAAATTTAAAATCTTTGGGGGATCAGAATGCAAACTACTAATGCTCTCAGCTGAGATAAACTTCGGACCCAGTAGGGACACTACACGGCCTTCTCAGGAGCTTGGGTGGTATAGTGGTTAGGAGTTGGGCTGTTAACCGCATAGGCAGCAGTTCGAAACCACCAGTAGGTTGGGGGAGGAAGAAAAGGCTTTCACTCGTCTCAGAAACGCACAGCAGCAGCTCCCGACCCACAGGATCGTGTGAGTCGGAACTGATACGATGGCAGTGAGTGCAGTGACCTGTTCATCTTAGGATGCGCAGTTTGCTTCTCCGTCGAGCATATGTGAAATATTTTTTCTTTATATTCTGAGGATTCCCTTTCAGAGGTTAAAAATGTTTTTGGAAAGTAAGCAGCCAGAGGAGTCGTCTTCCCCTTAAAACGCAACTTGATTCTAGCCAACAAATACTTGAAGGGGCTTTAAAAAGTTGGTGGACAAATGGAATTGAATGACAATGCAGATGTCCATGAACTTTTTGAGAAGCCGCCTCTTACATATGAAAGCATTGGTGGACTCTGGAAGGAGCCACGTGTATGGTGTAGTGGTTAAGGTGCTCAGATGCTAACCAAAAGGCCAGCAGTTTGAGCCCACCAGCTACTCCACAGTAGAAAGATGAGGGCAGTCTGATTCTGTAGAGATCACAGCCTTGCAAAATCCACATAGCATTTTTCTACTCTGCCCTATTGGGTTGTTATGAGTCAAAATAAAATGGGTGGCAGTAGATTTGGTTTGTGGTCTGTACTTCCTAGAAAACTGGTAAAGCATGGGGAGCAGCATGTTTCTACATGGTAAAACGGGGGGCTCTCGAGACTAAATGTCCATCTGAGCAATTCATCAGGACAATAAGCCTTGGCACCTTAGGAAGCTAGTCCTAGGGCCTTCCTGCTGTTAGGGATGCTGAAAGGGATAGAGTGGTCCTAGGATAGTAGCATCTCCTGGTTTCTAGAAGAAGCAAATGTATATTGTTTTGGAGAAAACTGAGGCCCCTCAGAGTTTCATACATATGCTTAAGAAAATGAACACATTGTAGTAATTTAGAATGCACATCAGATAATAAGCCACAGCACTTGTGAATTAGCACACACAATAAACAAGTGATTGCTATCCCCAGGTTTCAGGTACGTAAGTTATTCCTTACACAGTGTAACACATACACAATGCATTATAATGGTAACCACTTAAAAAAAAGTATATAACTTTTATACCATTAGAATGAAAAAGATCTATTTAGTAGTCCTCCAAACTGTATTACTTGTGATTTATCAAATAGCATCCATAGGCTAACCAACTTTAAACTTAACAGAACTAAGCTTTGATACTTCACATTCAAATGTGCGCTAATATAGTTCCAGAAACAAGGTTTTTCTTACCTTCCGTGGTGGGGTTGATTTTCCAGAATCTAAATCTAAATCTAGGTATTCCACTTGTTTGTCTCCTTTGGGTTTTATCATAGGACTGCTTCCTCCATCAAGACCATTACTGCCAAAAAGATTCTGAAAGATTACCCCCCCCCAAAAAAAAGGTCAAACACTAATGAGACATGCTGCTCATCTTGCTTGCCGAAATATTTATGCTCAGGAGAGCATAATGAATAAAAGTCTGTTTAAAAAATTAGATAACCTCTTAAGGTTTGAGGATAAATAATAATAACATATATTTTGAATGGGAACAATTTTAAATAGCGCAAGCTGAAAGTAGTTTCAAAAGTCAAGTGGTTCAAACTAATATTAGGCCATCAAGCTATTGTGAGTTTTGACAGTGTAACCTGAGCAGAACTAAATACTACATATAGATACTAAATTACATATACATACTAAATATTACAAATATTACATTACAAATACTCAATTACATTTCTAACTACAAGACTGAAGTCCTGTTGTTAAATTCATTAAGAATCTTTTATGTTTCATTGACAGTTTTTCACACTAAGATTAGTTTACAAGCAGTAAGTCGTTATGAATAATGACTCTCCTGGCAAAGCCTGTTTTGTTCAACCATCTGGAATTTCTACCCCTTCATTTCCGGCTTTTCTCAGCCTGACCCCTACCCTTCTCGTAGGAAATGCATACCAGGAGGACCCCTCCATTAATCTAAAAAGATCAAGTGAAAAGGGAGATCGGCAATAGCGATCAACATGCCTGCGAGATAGAAAATTTAAAAGGAAACAGACTAACGGCAACTTGATGACTTAACGCTAAACAGAAATGAAAGGACAACATGAGCTTGCAAACCTACAAACGCTCCTCATCAGACAGTCTTCTTCCTACAGGAGCTCCAGGTACTGTTTCCACGCCTGGCTGCTCGTAGCCCCATCTAGAAATGCTCCCCGTCCCTTGAGGGCAAGACCCTCTGTTTCAGGACTCTCAGCCCTGTGCTCTCCCGCACGTGGACAGCATGTTGTCCACTGACCATCTCAATAACTTTAGACGAAAATGAGGAGGTAAACATGAAAACTTTTAAATGGTGCACTTCAGAAACTGTTGCTTCCACTTCTCTTTGCTTCAGTTAAACAAGGTACACTGTGTTTGGGAAAGGTATTTGCTAGGAAAAGAACTGAGTCTCCTCCCTTAGGGGGTAGCATGGCTGCTGCCACTTCCCATGAAACCCTTTGCAAATTATCCAAGGACCCTCATTGCTCTGGGAGGACCTTGCCTGTGCTGTGAGCAGGACGAGGCCTATGTTTCAGGGACTCAAACTCTTATGCAGTCAGCCGCCTGCTAACTCAAGGTTATGACCCTATTAGGAACACATTTAAAAAACCACATTCACCAAGCTAGTGCTATTATTAAATATATATATATATATTGCGGAAAATATGCAGGGCACCCAAAAGTGCAAGCAAATATGGCGCTCAATCAGGATAGCTTCCATCCACCTCTCTCTGACATAATTATAAAAAATTAAAAAAAAAGGAAGCAGAAATTGTTAAGCTTTTTTTTCTCTGAATGACTCCGTATTTTGCTTTCACATTAAAAAAAAAATCAGCAATGAGTTATGTGTGTGTCTAATGAATTAAAATTCTGCATTTAACTGTGCCAGTGAGATAACACATTCCCGGGAGCTACCTGACGGAAAATGCTTAGGGGTATTGACAACAGTCTTAGAAAATTACAGAAGGAAGTCATGCATTTATATGATCTACATGCAAATTCTTATCTAGGCTAGTCATAAAGTATTTCTAGTGACGCTGTTTTATGTAGAAATCATCATGGGAGTTGAAAAAAATTCACTGACAAATTTTTGAGTCTCCAGTCTTGCCGCTCTTGACCTACCCTGACTGGGCATAGAGCGTCTATTGGTCCGGTCAGTAACCCTGTGTTTTTGCAAGAGTTCAGAGAAACCCCTTAAGTCTAGGAATTTTTACAAGTGTTCTGTCAACTAACCTACCAGCCAACCTACTAGTGCTATGGTTTGTTGCAATTTTAAAAGTATGCAGAGTTATTCCACGTGCTTTTGTTCTTCATATGCAGCCATTGTCTGCCTTCAGCCATGGTGTGGCATTAGCTGGATTTCAGGAGTCAGCATTAATGGTTCATCTGAGGAATGCATGCCTTCTGGTCTTTGTGCCAAATCATTGTTTCTACGTGCAGGGCCAACTCCATCATCACCAGTCTATGAAGTGTGTCCTGCTCCAGAATTTCCATTCATAGAATTTAATATTCCTGTATAAATCAGATTTGGTCAGATCCTCCCAAAAATTTTTTCTTTCTTTTTTTAAAAGAAACTATCCAACCACACGCCAGGCCATTGTTAACGTCTATCACTATGTTAAGGCCCCAAATTAAAGAGGTTGAGAAAAGACTGCTGTAATCATCACATTCTTTCCTAAGAGAGTGCTGCACCTTGAGGGAATCCGTGGATAGGTTTGTGGAAAATAGGAGGCTCTCTGCTTCTGTAAAGATTGAGTCTCAGAAATGCTATGATGAGTTGGAGTTGACTTAATGACAGTGGATTTGGTTTGGGTTTTACCAGAGGAGTCCTGGAAGTACAGTGCCTGGCTACAATCCCAAGTCAGTGGTAGGAACCCACTACTGCCTTCATGAGGCGCCCTGGTGGTGTAGTGGTTACACATTGAGCTGCTAACTGCAAGGTCAGCAGTTTAAAACCTCCGGCCACTTCCATGGGAGAAAGGTGAAGCTTGGTATTTCTGTAGAGTCTCGGGAACCCACAGGGCAGTTGTATCCTGTCTTGTAGGCTCGCTATGAGCCAGAAGTGAGTCTGAGTTTGTTTTTGATGGACTCTGTGGGAGAAAAAAACCCTACTGATCAGCTCCTGTCAAGATTAGAATGTAGGAGGCCTATGGGGCACCTCTGTTTTGTCACACATGGTTGCTGTGATTTGGAATCCACTCGGTGGCTCAGAACAAGATCACTTACTACTCTGTTTTGTCAAAAGTTTCTCAGACTTTCTGGTTGTCTTTTAGTCGTTTCCCTTCGTTCAACACTTAACTGTTATAGATACTCTTTATTACACATTGTTCCTAAGATTTTCATTTTATTTACCATCTTTGACAAAAGGATATTCTCTAGTATCTCTGAAAGTAATATATAAGATACAATAATAATTTATAAATTATTAAGGGTGCATGGGGGAAAGGGGAGGAAGGAAAAAAAAAGAAAGGAAAATGAGCTGATTCCGGGAACCCAAGACGCAAGAGAATTTTGGGAATGATGAGGGCAACAAATGTATAGATGTGCTTTACACAATTGATCTATGTATTGTGATGAATTGTATGAGCCCCCCCAATAAATTGATTAATTAAAAAAAAAAAGTAATCTGATAACGTGTATAAAAAGGAAAAGTTCATCTGACTACTTGAAGACGAAAACTGCCGTGAGATCTGCTCTGACATGACATTTAGAACTTACTTACTCTTAATAAGAGTGTATTTTCATTCATTTGAATGGGGAAACGCTAGTCTTGTGGGGTTTTTTAAAGATACTTTTATTGGGGGCTCTTACATCTCTTATCACAATCCATACAGTCCTCCAATGTGTCAAGCACATCTGCCGCCATCATCATTTTCAAAGCATTCTCTTCCCTCTGGAGCCCTGGATATCAGCTCCCGAAAAGCTAGATTTATATTTGGAATCTTCAAATGGGATTGTCTTAAAGAAAAGAAAGCCACTAAAATGTTACTCCTCAAAATTTTAACATTAGTTATTTGTTCATTCTGGCAGAGACTGGGCCTGGTTGTCCAATAATGACTCTCTACTTGTTCCAGTGAATGGTAGGTCCCCTGCCCCTCAGAAGAAAGGCTGTATTTCCCAGTCCTTTTTACGTCTAAGTGGGGTCATGATGACTAAATTTTGATCAATGGTCTAGAGAAGGCAGCTTCTGAACCTCCTCTACATGGCAGTTATGCGGCATCCCTTGATGCTGCCTCTCCCTTCCCTACATTCTGCAGCTTGGAATGTGAATCCACTCGCTGGAGCATCCTTGTGTTAAGGGAGGGCAGATTGGAGAGCTAGAAACCTGGACCCCCAAGGCTTCTACAACAGTCTCTGCCCCAACAGCCTTGGATTCACTCTCTCTGGACTTTCACAAGGGAACCAAGGAAGTGTCTGTGTTTTAAGTCACTTTTTAAAAAGGCCAATAAACAGAACAAGCATTAAAGCTGATGTAAGGAAAAGCAAAAGCAAAATAATATTCCAAAAAATTAAAACTGGTTTGTATGGTGAAACATCTGAAGTACCTTTTGGCAGCTACCTAATTTCTGGGAAAGAGAATTCTGTTACTCAAGTCTTCATGTCTTATGCTGATACAACTAAACTGATACAGATTACGTTTCACAGTCGGTCTTCTTTAAGCCGTAAGCCTATCTAAAGGTGCCACCAGAGAGGCATCATCAAAAGGCCTTCTATGTCCGGGTCTGTGGCCGCCAGGGCACCAGGACACAGGCAAGAGGAGCGGCAGAGAAAGTGCTGCTGGTGGAGGAATGTCCTGAAGAGTCAGTGTCAGATCGAGCACATCTGGAAGCAATTGCCACTGGAAAGCTTCTCAAACACGAACTAGTTCAACTTACAGATCCGATCTACACTTGGACCCTGTGATGCTGTTTTTAACAAGGTGTCTTTTATTCTTTTTCCTTAAATACATAAAAAAGACGCGTAAAGACGTAAAGACCGGATGGCAGGATGTAGCCTGAACAATTTTAAATGGCCATGCAGGAAGACAGGAGTGAAGACGAATACTTTACATACTGGGTCTTCGCTGGACAGGTTGGGGTTCATGGGAACGTAATTCTCTTCGCTGTCATGCGAGTCACTGCTTGAAGTTGTGCTGTGCACAGAATCCGGTCGGGGGGACATGGGAAACCTCGAGGAGCTAATAAGCAGAAATGATCATTACCCACATAAATCCTGATGAAAATGTCAAAACCACATCCAAATTAAAAATGGGACTGATGGGTAACATTCTTCTAGAAATAATCATTTACGCACATAACCATATGCATACACATTCACTGTAATACAGTTAATTTGTTGAACACGATCAGAAGCCCAACCCATGTATGTAGCTAAACTACACAAGTATATTTTTGACAAACACCAAATGATCTTGAGTTAAACAAACAAGCAAAATGTATTGCTAGGGACTTGGGAATAAGTAAAAGCTACATATAAAGATTTAAGAATCCTATTTCAAGAAAAACTAACTGAATGTACATATAAAAATGAACACTTATTAACGCACATATTCAACAGATGTGCAACTTTACATTTCATTCCCATTTCTGTATATAAATAAATCTGTATCTATCTGGCTTTCTAAAGTAGTCACTTACACCGCCCACCCTCACAGCACCTATAAGAAACACCGTATTTTCCATCCAGATCAGTGGTTCTCAAACATTTTTGGTCTCACAAACCCTTCACATTTTTTTTAAACGATTGTGAACTCCAAGGGAGTTTTGTTTATATTGGTTATATATATTTTGATATTTCCTATACTAGAGATTAAAATGGAACATTTTGAAACAGTACTTAAAAGCATGAGGGGGCTTTGAAAAGTTGGTAGAAAAATTCCATTATCTTTTCCACAAACTTTTAGATGCCTCCTCCTTTCCAAGGGAGATGTCATCAGCCATCACGTAGCTTCTGTGAAGCTACTGCATACTTGTGAAAGGATGACAGTAGAGGATGTAGACAGTATCTTGGTTTCTTAATGAGTTCACAGAACCCTGGGAAATGGGGCTCTGCCGGCCCGCCTTTGAAAACCACTGTTCCAGGTATTCTCCACGCTAATGAGCAATTGCGAGATTCCTGTTATCATATCAGCTGTAGACTTTCAATGAAGACTTACTCTCGGGCAAAACTCCTCGTGATGGGGGATCTCACAGGGGCTGGCAACTCTTCCCACTCTGACAAAGGCTTTATTTCTAGTGGTGCTGGTTTGGCTGTACCGAAGAGAGAGGGAGTTTAGTGTTTGGCACATTGGAAGTTCATGGATCTTGTGAAAGGAAACACATGGAACTACATCATGCTTCTTTAAGTATTTTATGATAATAAACACCCAGTGAGAACAAGAGAATGGGAAATCAGTCCCGTTGTTTGATTTATACTTTTCACTATTAATTTTTTAAAATAATTTTATCCTAAAATATAAGGATCTAATCTAACATGTAAAAATGTTCCTGTAACTCAAGATTAAAGCATCACTTATACAACTATACATAACATAAGAGTGTAGAAGATATTAAAAACAAAGTTCTGCTAATAAAATCTTTTACGTTCATGCTTCCTAAGAAACAAAACAATAATTGTATCTTTAGACTCAGACTCTGTTGTAAGGAAATTAAACAATTACATCAAAAACCTCAGCTTCATTTAGCCATTAATCATTTCTTTTATCAAATTAAATAAACATAAAGCTAATGTATTCACGAGCTGTAGTTGAGTGGCCCTTCCTTATTCACCTAATTATCACAGCAGATCACAAGACCAGGGCAGCCCACAGAGTTCTCAGTGCTTTGCTAAAAATCTGAAATATTTTCCAGAAATTTGAAAAGTGAGCAAAATAATTACCATCTGTTAATTTTAGGGAATATTTTAGTTGTCGTTCACACCAACATTATAAAAGAAACCTTTTTGTTTTTTTGGGTTCCCTTCAACTCTGTTTGTATATGAATGTACATTTATATCAGTTATGTTGGCCACCAAACTATAAAATAGGTGGTTGTTTTAGAAGGCTACACAGATTCGCTGGAGTTGATAACTAAGTATTTCTGTCAATTCAAAGCCAAAACGTCAATAAAAATTATATTTTGTGAATGGATTCTGCTCATTGATATATTCAAACTAGATACATACCAAAAATTGTCTTGGCTAAAAGCAATTTTCTAATTTTTAATGTCTCTTTTTTTTTTGAAACTTAAAGGCGAGTATCGTAAATTTAGCCATCACACCATAGAAATGGTCTGTATTCTGTCATAGAACAGATGACACACATTTTATGAAATATACAGGCAGAAAATAACTGAAATTCACAAGCCATTGACAAGCTTAAGGAAAATGTACTGATGCTTAAAAAACGTAAAAGAACAACATAAAAGGACAGGACTATGTTGAATTTTTACATGCTAGTTGTTAATGACATACAAGAAACCTCACTGTGTATTATGGGAAGCATTCACTTTAAAAAACAACATGCTGGGAAGCTTTATTTATAACGGAAGTCATATTCTTCTCCTTCACTGTTCAAGAAACACTTTAAAAATAAATAAAATAAAATAAATCCCCAATGTCCCATACAGCATGCGGTGCTAAAGTACATACCCTTTCTTCTTGGAGCAAAGTCACCTATGGTTTGTGAATCAGTTCGCTCTAAACCATGGGGTTTGGGTCTTAAATATTTGGGACTTTGACCTAATTGGTAAAAAGAAGACTCTCTTAATACAATGTTATTTTTGAATTGGAAAAGCGGCTCCTGCAGGAAAGCGACAGAGCCCTGTGCAGAAAGGTTACATCGCAAAAGCACACAAAGTTTGTTTATGGGGACAATGTTTCCATGTTGCTACAGTGGAGAGGAGGAAGCCGCATGCAACAATGCAGAGAGCAAAGCGTTACAATAGAAGGGGGGTTGTTAGTGGGGATGCAACTAGCCAGGTTAGTTGTCATTGCGCCTTCCAGGGAGGAAGGAAAACCATGTGCCCGGGTAGCTTTGCTTTCTTTCTTAACTTCCTTACATCCTTCTTTTTAAAAAACAGCTTCACTGGCATATCATTCACATATTGTGCAATTCAGTAATTCAATCACAAGGCTTTTCTTTTACCCTGCCTCAGAAAATCAGGTCATAGTTTTGCTCTAGCAGATCTCCTCCTTGGAGAGTCTCTTAAGAAGGTAGCAAGGTCTCCTTCCTAAAACTGTACCTTCCTAATCTGGTAGAAGTGTGTTAGAAAACAACCTTCCTCTGATTGTTCCTCCATCTCCGGACCAGCAATCTCTAGAGAAACAGGTGCACAACTCCACATTTGCTAATCTAAGACCACTGTTTGCTTCGTGCCAGGGGGATAGCCATGGCTGCCCAGGGCGTTATGTTGAAGCATCGGATGTCTGGATCTGGGCACTGGGGATTGTTTTGCTTCATATTAAGTGTGTAAAAGCCAAATTTTCACTGCTACCATGGACCTTTCATTTACCGTATATACTCGCGTAAAAGGCAACCCGAGTTATTAGTCAAGGCACCTAATTTTACCACAAAAACTGCATAAAAAATGCCTGAAAACTCAGTGTATACACAAGTATATACGGTATTCTCTGCCACCTACAAGTTTTGCTGAAAAGCCCTCTACAGGGTTGATGGCCGGCAGCTAGCCTCATGCCTTTCTGCAATGGAAGTCTTCATCTTCATTCCAGGCTAGCACTACCGTCTGAATCCATCATTCAAACCATCCTATTCTTAAGGGCAGGTGCCTTGGGGGCACACTGCTTAAAGGGCATGGCTGTGAACAGAAAGGCTGAAGTCAGTGGCTGGGGGGGGG